CTCTCTGACTCTATATCAGCCATTCTTAACCAGGGTGCCATGGGGTGCCTTCTGGGTTTCGCAGGAGTGCCTTGAAATATTCACAAAGCATCATGCCTTTCCATGGTGCAGGCAGGCTTCTGATGTGGAGGGAGAACTCTGAGATGTATTCTGATGTAAAAGGGGGGGCTCCTAATGTGATGGGGAACTCTGATGTGAAAGTGGGGCTTTGATGTATGGGGGGCTCTGATATGAAAGGGGGCTATGATGTAAAGGAGGAATTCTGATGTAAAAGGGGGGTTCCTGATGTTAACAGCAGGAAGTTCTGATATGAAAGGAGGCTATGATGTAATGCAGAGATTCTGATGTGAAATGGGGGGGCTCCTAATGTGAAGGGGTAATCTGATGTGAAATATTGGAGGGCTCTGATGTAAAACGGGGGTACTGGTGTGAAGGGGGGCTCCTGATGTGAAAGAGGGCTCTCGATATGAAGGGGGGCTTTTGATGTAAAGATGGCTCATCATTTGAAGGAGGGGACTTCCAATGTAAAAGTGGGTTCTTGAAACGAGGGGGGGGGGGCTTCTGATGTGAAGAGGCCTCTTGATTTGAAATGGAGGTACATTGTGACGTGAAGGGGGGCTCCTAATTAAAACGAGCACTCTGATGTGAAGGGGAACCCCATCTTTTTTCATGGTTAGCATGGGATTCCCCCTTAAAATCCATACCAGACTCATATCCAGGATAAGGGTTTGGTATGGATTTTGTTGGTGGGGGAAGGGGGGGCACATTTTAGACTGGGGGGCCCCAAGATTTTGGATACTTTTAAAGGGTGCATTTAAACACTGTGCTATACAGTATTGTGGGTGTCAGTGGCCCCCTAGTGGACACTCCAAGGGGGCCACTGACAGAGAGAACCCAGATGTTCTGATATATCCCATCACTTTAAACCATTGCCTTCTCTTGGGGTAATGTATCATGTGCTTGATTTTCAGAGGAGGACGAGGACAGTGATGAAGAATCCGATGAGGAGTCGGCGTATGAAAGTGACGAGGACGTATCGGATTCAGAGGACGGCGTCTTTGATGATTCTGTTTGCCCTGACAGTGAGTCATTTCTGTTATTTCAGATGTTTACCCCTCCCCCCAATCTGATATCACTGCACACTTTGAGCTTCTCACAATGTGCATTGGAAGCCGTAGCTAATCAGATAGAGCCCGCCTCATTTCCTGGCTGGAGGACACCCAGCATCATCTAGTTCTTCCCTTCTCAGACTGACTGCCCCCTTTTATTAATTAGACATAACAAGTATTCTGAAAACCCTGACTGTAAGAGTTGTGAAAAGGGGAAACTTGAATTGGGTAGCTAACACCCTAGGTGACCCCCCCCTGCCCCCCAATTCTAGTCCTGGAAGGATTACTTCTCAGTACTGTATTGATCTTTAAAACCATGTCAACCAATTTGTCATTATAAATGTTTTAGGAAGTCGGCCATGTTTATTTTCTCCACCGTCTTTCTGTTGCGCACAGATTGCGATCCCAAACTCTTCGACAACACCTTGCACCTGCGAGAAAAGCACCTGGACATCGAGGAGGTCCTGACAGAAGAAAAGAAACTCGTTGATAATCTGAAGAAGGAATATGACGGGATGGCCAAAAAGGTCGTTTATTAAGACTGTGATACTTCTCGGGTGCATCAACATTCACTGCCGTGTACACAATGTTATACCAAAACTAGCCGCATTGATCAAATGTGTCCGAAAAATCCCAGGCATCCAATGGTAACCCAAGTCTATGTCATGGTAGACCATATGGCCAAAAGTCGGTGGACACCTGACCATCACACCTATATGGGCTAGTTGGACATCCCATTCCAAAACCATGGCCTTAAACATGGAGCTGCCCCGCCCCCCCCCCCCCCCCCCCCCAATCATTTTTTTTGTAGCTATAACAGCCTCCACTCTTCTAGGAAGGCTTTTCACAAGGTTTTGGAGTTTGTCTGTGCGAATTTGTGTCCATCCAGCCAAAAGAGCATTTGTGAGGTGAGGTACTGATGTGGGAGGAGAAGACTTGTCCTGCAGTCCAAGGGGTTCCAATCAGGGCCGGTGCAAGGATTTTTGCCTACACAGGCGAAAGAGCATTTTCGCGCTCTTTCTTTTCTTACTTTTTAAAATTTTTATTCATCTGATTTCTCTTTCAATTTTTTATTTGTTATAATTTTTTTCTAATTATTTGTTAATTTCTTTATTTTTTTAATTCTTACTTTTTAAAATTTTTATTTATCTGATTTCTCTTTCAATTTTTTATTTGTTATAATTTTTTTCTAATTATTTGTTAATTTCTTTATTTTTTTAATCTTACTATCTGTTACCTATTATCATTTTAATTATTATTTTTTACTTATTTTTTCATAAATGCTTAGTTATTTTATATTTGTTTATCAATTTATATTTGTTTTTTTATTTCATTTTTTATTTTTTTTCACTTAACTTTATTGCTATCACACAGGAGCTAGCTTGGTTCCAATTCAGACCGTGGTTCAGGAGTGAATTCTATAAATATATATTCATATCAGAAAGCCCCTTTAATCCACTTCCATGTAAATATGTGCAGTTCCTGACATGTAGAGTCATTTTCATTGTCAGGTGAAAGTAGTCAATGTGAATCTGAAGTCGGCAGAAGAGGAGCTCGAGGCGTTCCAGAGGGAGAAGCAGCAGAAGCTCAATGAGCTGCATGTTGTTGTTCCATTAAAGCTGCACCAGGTACAGTATTGGCCGCTTTTGCTTCCTCCCCATATGACTGATATACATCTCATCCTCCTAGCACACTAGAGCCCGTGTATGGTGGGAGCCCCTCATAACCATAATGGGCACAGCAGATGTGCAGACCCAGGAACTCAGCTCATCAATGGTGGGAGCCCCTTATAATGGGCACACCAGGTGTACAGACCCAGGAACTCAGCTCAGGGGTGGTGGGAGCTCCTCATAATGGGCACAGCAGGTGTACAGACCCAGGACCTCAGCCCAGGGATGGTGGGGGCTCCTCATGATGGGCACAGTAGAGCTGCAGACCTAGGACCTCAGCCCAGGGATGGTGGGGGCTCCTCATGATGGGCACAGTAGAGCTGCAGACCTAGGACCTCAGCCCAGGGATGGTGGGGGCTCCTCATGATGGGCACAGTAGAGCTGCAGACCTAGGACCTCAGCCCAGGGATGGTGGGAGCCCCTCATGATGGGCACAGTAGAGCTGCAGACCCAGGACCTCAGCCCAGGAATAGTGGGAGCCCCTCATAATGGGAACAGCAGATGTGCGGACCTAGGACCTCATCGCAGGGAAGGTGGGAGCCCCTCATGATGGGCACAGTAGAGCTGCAGACCTAGGACCTCAGCCCAGGGAAGGTGGGGGCCCCTCATGTTGGGCACAGTAGAGCTGCAGACCTAGGACCTCAGCCCAGGGATGGTGGGAGCCCCTCATGATGGGCACAGTAGAGCTGCAGACCCAGGACCTCAGCCCAGGAATAGTGGGAGCCCCTCATAATGGGAACAGCAGATGTGCGGACCTAGGACCTCATCGCAGGGAAGGTGGGAGCCCCTCATGATGGGCACAGTAGAGCTGCAGACCTAGGACCTCAGCCCAGGGAAGGTGGGAGCCTCTCATGCTAGGGGGCTACACTCCTATGCATAAATTCTTTATTGAGGAGTGTTTTATTGGTGGATATGAATATATTGAAGGTAAAAAAGGAGAGTTTCATATTACTAAGTATTAATAAGTGATTTTTTGTGTCCTTTGTTCAGGTTGATTACATGATCAATGGGGAGATTCCCAGTGACCTGTCCCAGGCCCTGGTCCTCACTAGCCATTCCCTAGAGAGTCTGCAGCATCGCATCAAAGAGCTGCAAGTGGAGAAGGTGGAAAATAGGGAGCTGTATAAACAGGCCAGAGAGCAGCACAAGCAGCTGATCCGAGAGCGCAAGGAGATGGAGGTCAAAATCCAGAGTAAGTTCTGGCCACTAAGGTTTGATGGGTGGGGGCACAGAGGATAGGGATGAGCCCATCCAGTGATCCACTTTTGGATCTGAAGAGCCCCAGCAAAACTTACTCTTTAGCTGAAACTCTTCAGCAGTCAGTGGTATTCACGGGGGGAGTTGGATGCTGAGGATCACACACTAACAGATCGGATGATAAAGGTCCATTCACTGAGCAGATTGTCATTAGCATATTAATGAAGGAGGAACTAGCAGGTCAGACATCTTCTTTAAAGTACATCCAAACCCAAGAAGAAAAATATAATAAGTTGCAGCTTCTTAGATGTGGTAGCTGCATTATTTTTCTCTTTTTAGTCTTTTTTTCCCCCCCTATGTTTTTACCTGGTGATCCTGCCATTAACTTCCTGTCCTAGGGAGACAACACTTATCACTTAATGTATTGCATTTATGGAGTAGCAGCCTTGCCGCTACAGGAAGACAGGAAGTGTGTTAGGAGTACAGAACACCTATCCTCCTCCTCAGAGGCATAAATGGAAACCTTAGGGCCCTGGTGCAAGAAATCATGAAGGCCCCAATAGGGAGGCAATGTCAGCGCCTTGGTGGTTACTGGGGCCAGGCCCTCTTCGTCCTCTGCAACCCCCCCAAAGTGGCAGAATGCCAGGGCCCGCTTGCCCATACGACCACTGTGACCCTGGCAGTTCCGCCAGTGCCTCTCCTGATTGACATAACGTAGGGGAGGTGTTCTGTAGTTAACAGAGGTGAACTGGACTGGGCAGATAACAGTGTCTGAGCACAGGACGGTAGTTAATGCCTGGCAGGACCAACACAGCAGCTGAGCAGAGACAGCAAATATGAGCACTCTGAGCTGGATGATGGGCAGTCCAGCAGTCTGGAACCTTTTATTAGATGTGGGAATGTGTTACTGACAGCATCATGAAGCGTGGGGTCTGCATACACAACTGACAACCTGCCTCTCTAGGCCACAGCCTATGTTGGGTATGCAGATATTTGGCCTGGTTCCTGGGCCCTTGAGGTCTCTGTGCTAAGTCATATTACTCTCTATGCTTCCCTCCCTTTCTGTCATCTGTGATACAAATTACATTACCTTCTCTTTTATCCACATCCCTTTTACTTCTCTTACCTGCTGGCTCTCCTATGCTACATCACCCAATAATGTAAAGAGTTATTGTGTGAGACATGAGGCCTTCCTTGTTCAGGTTTCTGCCTCCCCTTGTAGTTTTTTACTTAGCATTCAACAGGTCCATATTGTGCCCATGAACTAAAGCTGCAGTCTGGCAGATATTGTCTTGGGGTGGCCAGCAACCATTATGGGCATCTTCTTCTTCCCCGGCCTGTTTTTTTCCAGGAATTACTTCTGTTAATAATTACCTTCCATTTCTCAGGCTTGGAGGAGAAGTGCAGTCAGCAGATGATGATGAAATTTGGCCGCTTGGTTGACCTCGAAGCTCTGCAGACCTTGTCTGTGAACACCACCCTGGAGGAGCTGAAGATAAAATCATCACAAAGGCGGCAGGAGATGGACCAGGAGATAGCGGAGTGGGAGGTAAGACGCCCACTACGGACTTTCTGTTATGGTGCCCAACCTATATCTTGTTATTTTGTATATTGCTGCTGCTGTAACACTATTTAACTTTGAAACTGTGATATAATTTCTGAGACCTGCTGCCCAAAGTAAAAAGGTAGGGATGCACCGATACCGATACTAGTGCCGATACCGAGTATTTGGGGACGAGTACTCATACTCGCCCAAATGCTCCAAAACTTACCTTCGATACCGGAACTTCCGGTCAGAGGGAGATTTCTTCCTGACTGGCAGTGCCGAAGGAGCATGGAGCGGGCTAACTTTCTAATCAGCAAGCTGGGCAGTGGGTTATGACCCGTCTTCCGGTCTTACTGGTTGGCTAGGAAGCCAGCTTCACTTGTTGCTAGGCAGCCTGGCTTCCTGAGCAATCAGGAAGCCGGATGGCACCTCATGACCCACTGCCGGGCTTCCTGATAATCGGGGCATCTCCTACCTTATAGTAAGGTAGGAGAGACTTTTATACAAGCCCCTTTCTCATACATGCCTGCAGGTTAGATGAGGTCTCATCTATACAGCAGAGCTGCTGTCAGCAGATCTTTCTACCCCCATTGCTGTAACCGGTGTGAAGCCCATGTCACACTTGTGATCTTGTGTACTACTTCTGCGTTTTCATGGCGTCACACCATTACTGGCTCCACTGGCATGGCATCGCTCCCTCTCTGTTGCAAATGCTGTGTACTCTCCCTCACCAGCAATTGGACGGAGTGATGACATACTGATCCTGCCATCGAGGGAGCGACACTGCCGAAATAGGTGAGTATTTCTTGGCAATCTCTAGGATTGCAAGGGTGACATGGACCTTATGTGATCACTGATTGTTAAATTGTTACAATGTATCTAGCAGCACCTATCAGGATCAGGTGATTTCAATAGATCAATTTTTACAAAGCAGTTGCTGAAGGAATTGTGGTGAAGGTAGGGGAAAAAAATCCTTTTTCCCATGATGTCACATATTGTTGCTTTCATATTTCTTTTTTTCTGTGAAAAGGCAAAAATAACAGAGAGAAAGAAGAAACTGGTGGAGGTGACCCGAGAGCACACTAAGAAGCTGGACAGATTGAACGAGATCCTGACGGAGAAGAAAGTCATAGAGGCAAAGCTAGATGCTCGGCAAACTGTTGTGGTATGTCTACATCAAAGCTAGCGACTAAACCAGGGCTAGGCAGGGCCGGATTTACTCTCCCCAGGGCCAGGTTCTGCGATTCACCCCCCTTCTCGTCAATGGAGAATGGCAATTCCCGTCAGATGGCAGGGCAGCGGGGTTAGCGTCAATTTTTTTACTGTTTCTTAATTTTTTTATCACTTTTTATTTTTTTATTTAATTATTTCTTCTTCTTTTTTTTTTTATTTATTTCATTATTTTTGTTATCAATTTATTTTTTTTAGATTTTTATTTATCTTATTTACTTTTTTATAATTTTTTTATCTTATTGTTTATTTTCTTATTTTTTAATCATTTTGTTTCTTTTTTTACTTTTTAATTACCTTTTTAATTTTTTTATTTAATTATTTCATATTTGTTTTTAATTTTTATTTATTTAAAAAAAATGTTTAATCAATTAAAAATGTTTTCCACCTAACTTTATTGCTATCACACAGGAGAAAACAATCCCCTGTGTGATAGCAATTGGAGGTTCTCTTTATTGACCCTGTCCCCTCCAGTACAGGAGTTCTAGCACAGTATTGTGCTGGAACTCCTGTGACAGGTGAGAGAGGGAGAGCGCAGCACAGCACGGCACAGCAATTCACAGCTCTCCCCTCTCACTGCCTACAGTCTGCACGGAGCGGTGGGGTTACTTATAACCCGGCCGCTCTGCTCACTGCAGTCAGAGACTCGGGACTCGGCGGCGGAGGACGGAACCAGAGGAGAGAGGAACCAGCGCCCCACTTCTCAGTGCCGCGCTGTGCCCACCGCCCCCCACATTTGCGCCAAAGGCGAGAACCTCAGTCGCCTCACCCTCGCTATGGCCCTGGAGCTGGTGGCGAAGGTTCGGGTTCATTGCATAGAGATGACAAAGGCCAATGTGATCGTTTTGCTTAATGTGACTTTACCCCTCTGTTAGATACCTGTTGTTATGGCTGTAACTATTCTAATGTGACCTTACCTTTCTTATGGAATCTCAGTGTAGCCCTCACCCATATACAGGGTGAGGGCTACACTGAGAAAAATACCAGAAAAATACCCGTTGGTCTTCCGGAGATGAGCTCAGCTACTAAGACCCCGTTCACATATAGCGACATACCTTTGCAGCGGCCGGGATAGCGCGACTTTCGGGGTGACGTTCCAGCGACGGTAGCGCGACCTTCTCCGTCGGGCTCCATAGAAAAAAAGCAAAATCCGCTGAAAAAAGGGTCCGGTAGAAGCGACTTGCGACCGCGACGAGCGACGCGCGACATGGAGTTAAGACAGCTCCATTGAATAGCATTGGCCGTCGACTTCTCGCGATATCGCGCGGCAAAAATGCGCAATATCGCGGCGGAAATCGCGCGACAATTCGCTATATGTGAACGGGGCCTAAGTCCCGTTGTGGCACACAGCAATTGTGTGGACTCTCCAGAATGATCTGTCTTCTGTCTGGGTCTTAAAGGAGAACTATGGGGTTAGGGCTTTTCCATAGTTCTCCTTAGGGTAGGTCCAGCCCCTCCCCTGTCATGGCAGAGAGCCGTGACAGGATCGAGAAGTGAGCGAGCGCCGGTATGTGTTCGCTCACCTCCCGATCTACTGAGCCGACCTGTGACAGTCTCATTGTCGCAGGTCGGCTAGAACTATGAGGTGAGTGAAAAGCACTCACCTCATAGTTCTCCTTTAAGTCTTCGCAAAGCCATATTTATAATTCTTGTGACTGTATTCATCCACCTACATGCTGGTTCTTCTCATTATATGTCCAGAAATAAAACAGCTTCAGCCTAGTCATCTGAACTTCTAGTCCAGATGACTAGGCTTACAGTTGGGTCTGATATGCTGAAGGATCCATTTTTTTCCCTTGCTGTCCATTGTATCCTAAGAATTCTTCACCCACACCAAAGATCTCTGCACAATAGATGCTAATGATTCTGTAGTCCAAGATAAGTACAAGGAGGGCTACTTAGGCTCTTTGAGATAACATAGCGACAGTGGCGTAACAATAGCCATAGCGACCCAGGCGGCCGCTATGGGGCCCGGGTCCAGGGGGGCCCGGCCAGGACACCCCCCTGATGCCGTGCGGGCCACCTGGGTCGCTATGGGTTCGAACGCACCGCTGTTCAGATCACCGTGATCTGTGCAGCGCTGCGTTCTTCTCCATTGCCGCTGCTGAGTCAATGAGAGTCAGCTGCGGTGGTGGAGGAGGCGGGGCCCAGGGGGTCAGCATCAGAGAAGGAGGCGGGGCCGGTGGCGGGGGCGGGGGGCCCGGCGACGGAGGAGGGAAGACGGAGGAAGAAGAGGCGGACAGGTAAGGAGTGTTACCAGCCCACCTGAGGGTGACCCTGAGAGAGAGTCTATGGTGGGCTCTGCAGCGTCACCCTCAGTTGAGCTATGTGGGCTCTTCAAGGGGTGTAACTAGAAATCACAGGGCCCCAAAATTTTGCTATGGGGCCCTGTGATTTCTAGTTACGCCCCTGCATAGCGAGTGTGCACTGGAGACATGAAAGCTCTGAATTTCTGATCATCAGGTTTTATATGAGACTTATCAAACACGCGTAACAAAACGCTTTCGGTGGTATATTTAGCAGACCAAAAGGGAGCAAATAAGAAAAGTTAATTGTTAGTGTTTATAGACACTGTAAGTGATCTCAATGCCCGCAGCCCTTTAATGTAACACTTGTTGATCCGTCTGAGCCTTCTTTATTGCTTTTCAGGGTGCCGAATTCCTGGGGCCCCGTAAAGCAGAGACCCGCGAGAGACAAAAGCTGCTCCACCGTGCTCAGATGCAAGCGGAGGAGATAGAGAGCCTGAAGGAGGAGATCTTGCTGCTGAGCAAGAAAGGAGAGAACATCCTACCGCCCATCCGCCAATAGGAAAAGTCTAAAACCTTGCGTTATATAACCAGTCGTAGATCATCCACGGCGGGGGTAATATGATGTCATGTTTCAGAATTCTGATGATGTTCATAATTATATATTAGGCCTCCTGCTGACCATCTAAACCCTTTTTTCTATTTCCCTTTTCTTGGGTGGCATGGACCCAGTATGGGTTTGCATCCATGCCACCCATGTTTTGGGTAATAGACAATCAAATACATCAGGGATCTGTTGCCACTTTTTATTGCCCTTTTTTGTAAAATAAAATAAAGTTGTACGCTATGGCGATGTCCGCGTTCTTCTTATATGTGTTTTATCTTTTATGGCATTGGAAGCAGCAGTGTCTACCCATAGAGTATTTTTCATTAGACAATGTCGTGTCATTGCCCTTG